GGGGCGGGGCGTGCGCGGGGCGGGGCGTGCGCGGGGCGGGGCGTGCGTGGGAGGGGCGGGACCTCGGGAGGGCTGCCCGGGAGAGACCGGGAGGGGCGGTGCGGCTGGAGAAGGCGGGGCCTGGGTCGGGTTGTGGACGGAAGGGGCGGGGCCACTGGGAGCGGGTCCGGGACCGCGGAGAGACCGAGGGCGGGGGCGGGACCTGCGCGGGGCTCTCCGGCGAAGCCCGGGCTTCTCCTCGGCCGCCCTCCCGTCACTCGCCCCGCCCCGCCCCGCCCCTCCCCGCGCCGAGGCTGCGCACGGTCTCCACACCCCGCACTCCTGTGACGTCACGGTCCGGCAGCCGCCGTGCTTCTTAAAGGGGCCGCGCGCGGACCCGCAGTCAGCGATGCGGGAGCAGAGGGGCTGGGGTTGGGGGTGGTCATGTGGCCCGCGCCTGAGCCACGGGCGTGGAAGGCGGAGGCCCGGGACATTTTATTAACTCACAGGCCGCGTGGGCCCCCGCCCAAGGTGGGCTCCAGAGGGGCGCGGAGCGGGACAAGGAGCGGCGCAGGAGGGAGGCGGGCGGGGGTCTCGGGCACGGGGCCGTGAGAGGGGGTCCTCGGGGCGGGGGCGCGGGCTGAAGACCGGGCTCTTGGGGAGGGGGCCGTGGTCGGGAGGGGGGCCGCGGGAGCCGGGGTCCCAAGGCGGGGTCGCGCGGGGTTCCGGGCTCGGGGTCCCCGGCGGGTTCCGGGGGGGTCTCTTAAGTGTCACCAGGGAGGCGTTTCGGGCAGAGGCTGTCCACAGGCGCCTGGGCGCGCCGCAGGCCTCTGCGCCCGGCCCCTGCCCAGACCGGCCCCGGGGAGCAGGTGGCGGGTGGCGCTGGCTGGGACGGGGTGGCCGCCCGGCGGGCCTGCGCGCCCCTGACCCTGCGGGTCGGGTCGGTGGGGGTGGCCGGCAGCTGGGCCCTCCCGGAAGGCGTCGGCTCTGCAGGTAGCTGCGGGATTCTGCTACTGCGACCACCCAAGGCCTGCAGCAAACGCATCTGACGTGGAAACCCACGTTCGCTCCGCGGGGTGGCCGGCCGGCGGAGTCGTGCCGGGCGGACGCTGAGGTGAAGCCGCAGCCTCCAAGGTGGGGACGGCGTCTACACGGTAGTTCAGGTTGACGGAGGCCATAAAGGTGTCTCTTTCCCAAGACTCAGTGTCCTTGCAAGAAGAGCCCCGGAGCACATGCTGCCCCCCACACCCTCCCAATCCCAACAGAAATCAAAGAAGAGGCCATGTGAGTGGACAGAAGGTGGCCCTGGACAAGCCAGGAAGAGAACTTTCACCAGAAACCAGATCCTGTGGGAATGCGATCTCAGACGTGGGGCGTCCAGACGGCGAGAAATAAATTTCCGCTGATTAAAGGCACCTACTGTGTGTCATTCTATGGTAACAGCCCAGCCCTACCAGTACGGCGTCTCCTGCTCACCTTCCTGTGAAACCAGCCTCTGCTAAGGACACTAGTCATAGAGAGCAAATGGAGACGCGTCCCCGACGTCTGGGGCCCGCTTCCTAAGAAGCAGGGTCGCCTCCTGCCCTGTCCTCAGGCTGTGTCTCGTCTCACACCTCTGCACTGCCTGGCCGGGGGTGCTGAGCTGCACACGCATGAGCTTGCTTCCCCCGCGACTGCCTGAAGTAGAGAGCACCCAGCCCCGTGCCCCATCCTCGCCCCGCGCCCAACCTCCTGGCTGCCCCGTTGGACCCCTCCCGCCATCTCCAGGCCACCAACAGCCCTTCTCATCTGGCAGACATACTTGCGCTTCACCTTCGCGAAGAAGAGTTTGCGGCCCACCCGCCTCTGCCCCCCTCCGCCCAGCCCCGGCTCCGTCATGCCCTCCCCTGGCAATCACGCTGCTGCGTCTCAGACCCTATGAAGTCCCCCTTTGTCCTAGGCCCCTCCTCGCCCTCTCATCTCTGCTCCATTTACTGCAAACCTTCTACAAGTGACCGGCCTGCCCCAAGCGCCAGTGGACCACCCTTCCAGGCTCTCAACTGCTGCTTGTGCCCACACCCCAACGGGGCCACCCGCACGGTTAGCACTGGTTCCTAATTCAGCAGCCAGTCGCCACCCCTGGCTTCCACCCACCTGACTTACCCCCAGAAACGGGTTCTGCCCTGGTGACCGTGACATTTGCCATCTTGGTCCCCCTGGCTGCCTGCCCCCCAGCCACTCTTGCTCGCTCTTCCCAACGCTCCGCCTGGAGTCCCGGCCTCCTCAGCTGTGGTCCTGACTCCTCCTCCTTTCATGTACACTGTGTGCCAGTCTCCTCAGACTTTCTCCAGGTGCCTGCTGCTGCGCTGGGAAGGGCTATCTCGAGGCCAGCAGACCCAACAGATTCCAGAATCACTCCTTCCTTTGGAGGCTCACACTCCAAAGTGTCCAGTCACTCTGCATGCGGCCCTTGGCGGCCGTGTTTGACTCTGTGCCCCAGAGGCAACTCCACTGGCTGCTGCTGGCCCACCCGACCTCTCAGATGCTCCTTCCTCCTTCAGACTGCCCCCTCCACCCCGACCCACCCACCCAACTCCATGCATGCCATCACACCAGCTTTCCCCTCTGCCTATGGACCCCCCCCCCCCGCCTCCCTGCCACACAGGTGCAGCCAGCCACGGAGAAATAACAAATGTGCGCCGTGTGAATCAGCGCCGTGTCAGAGCCATGCCCGTGCCTGGATCCAGGGCTACCCGACTTTCAGAGAGGTATTGAACCCTAATCTCATGTAAGTTAAAAGCCACATTCATAAAATCGTGGGTAAAGGGGAGGCTTACTTTTTCTAGCATGTCCTTTTTTGCCATTGGAACACTGTCCCATCTCTGGATGTTTCCTTTGCTGAGAAAATAATACCATTTTTTAAGTTTTGCAACTTATTATACGTTTTGCAAAGCCCACTTATCCAGCCTCAGGAGAGACCTGGCCCCCCCGGCATCAGGGTCTGGATCTGTCCCCCAGTGAGCAGCACAGAGAGGGGAGGTGGAAGCCGCCGGAGCGTGACATCGGATCTTCCGCAGAAGCCCGCGTGCTCCAACGCAGCCTGCTTGGCCAAGTGCTCGTGGGGCTCCCAGACACAGTTTGGCCAAGGCTCTAGTTAAACAATAATATGCTGTCAGCTGTCCTGGAAAGGACAGCCTAGTAGTCACTAATCTCATATCGTGACTTAGTTTAAGATAGTGACCAATTTATTCATGGATTCATCTCATCCGATGCTTGAGAGGTTCACGGCTGGGGTTCCTTCTGCACAAGCGTGCTTAAAAGTCCCCCTTCCACCCACAGGTGGAGAGGAGGACGGCATTCTGTGGTTGCAAAGTGTGTTTCAATCATGTGGTCATCTACTTCCAACACCCCTGCTGAGGGGTCACCCTTGGTCCGTTGTTACAGCACACGGTGTCCAAGGTCCCACTCCAGGTGCTTTTCCGCATAGATCCTGGCCAGACCCCCCCCCCCCGCCCCGTGGAGGAATCCAGGGCTCTGTCCTCAGTGAGAGGCCAGACTGGGTTGCTTTAGCCAGAAGCATGTTTGCCGTTAGTGAGCTCACGGGCAGCTTGTGACCTCACAGTCACCTGGGAAAGGGAGGCATCTGTGCTTCTGAGTCACTTGGATTCCTCCGTCATTCACCAGCTCTCTCCGGGAGCAGCCAGCACTTTGCAGGCACCCCGGCTGTGTGGGGTGCTTCACAATTCTTACTCCTAGTCCTCGGAAACAGCCATCTGAGGTTTATATATGCATTTGGGAGGTAAGAAAACCAAGCTTCGGGAGCAGAAAGCGGGTCAAGTCCCCACAGGCAGCGGGGGCCGAGCAGGACGCCGAGCCTGGCGGGTCCTTGACAGCAGGTGTGGTCTTACCCGGTGTCCGGCCTTTCCCTTGTCCCTTTGCTCCTTCACTTACCTGTTTGGTGAGTCTTTGTCGGTGCCTTCCCCGTGCGGCGCTTCATGCCAGCGAAGACTGGTAACTGCCCAGGGAGCTGAGATCCGGTGGGAAACGCGCGCTGGCCCTGCATCGAGGCGGCACGGTGCCCGCTGACAGTGCCCTTACGACAGGCACGCACTCATCCCCGATAACCGAGGTCTGTCGACCGGCTCCATCCTCCCAGGAGGAGCAGGGGCTCCTCATCTCATGCGAACGCGCTGTGGCTCTTGCGACGGGATCTCTGGCGAGTACTGCACACGCTGCGCTCCTTGCCCAGCTCGGGCCATACACGCGCTCCCGGCTCCTCTGGTTCAAGCCCGGCTCTGTAACGTTGGTGCTTTGGGGTGCAACGGAGGGCTCTCCCTGGAGGCTTTCCATCCCAGAGCAGCCGATGCCGGACGGACACATCGCGCCGTGGGGCCGGGTTGTTTCCCTTCCTACCCGTCGGGTCAGTGCGCTCAGAAAAAGCCCTTGACAGAAGTCTAGCATCTCTTTGTGATTAAAACCTCTTGGCAAATGGAAGATGGAGAGGACCTCCTGAACCTCCTGAAACACAGCCGTTAGAAATGTGCGTGAGCACCACGGGGTGCGGACAGACGCCGCTGTTGCCACCCAAGCTGTGGGATGAGGCAGGGCTGTCCTCCCGCACTCCTGCTACTCAACATTAACTAAAGGTCGGTCTGTGCAAGAAAATAAGAAAAAGAAAGAAAATGCACACAGATTGGAAAGCATGATGTGAAACTCCCGTTGGTTTCAGGCAACATGATCACTGACGTGGAAAATCCTAACAAGTCCACAAAAAATACTTCCAG